TTTCCCAAACAGGTGAAACTTCTTGGATGAGAAGCAAAGATCTTCTCGTTCCTCAAGAAAAATAAAAAAAACAACATTCCAGCTGGCATTTGAAGAAACACCTTTGGGACACCTCCCCAGAAGTTACCACTTACTGCTCTTGTGGACTCTCCACATCTGGATCTCCGTAGCATCCCAGCCCTGCTCTTCTGCAGCAGCCCATATCTCCACAGCTCATGGTTCTTGGGTGGGAAGACACGCCTGTTTGCCGCTGAGCCTTGCCTGTGGCTTAGAAGAGGCCCACCTCTGCCTCCCTTCTCCCCGCACACCTACAATTGTGTCTGCACAAAAAAAAAACAACCCTCCTTTTCTAGGATTGGTGCTCCTGTGAACTTCCTGCAGGAGTTGCTCTTAAAGAGGAAGAAGGCTCAACAAAAAAGCAGGTTTGCAGTCGAGGGTTGAAATGAAGGGTCCTTGGTGCTTTTGCAATCAAAATGGAGCTGGATAGAAATTGGGATCATTTAATAATAATAATAATAATAATAATAATAATAATAATAATAATAATAATAATAATAATAGTAGTAGTAGTAGTAGTAGTAGTAGTAGTAGTAGTAATAAAGTTGGAATGGACCTTGGAGGTCATCTAGTCCAACCCTCTGCTCAGGCAGGTAACCCTATACCATTCCAGACAAATGGCTGTCCAGTCTCTTCTTAAAAACTTCCAATGTTGGAGCACTCACCGCTTCTGGAGGCAGGTGGTTCCCCTGGTTAATTGTTCTAAAACAGGGGTAGTCAACCTTGGCCCTTTTATGACTCGTGGACTTCAACTCCCAGAATTCCTGAGCTAGCCATGAACATTAATAAAAAATCTTATATATATATGTATATAAAGAATGGAGCTGGAAGGGACCTTGGAGGTCTTCTAGTCCAACCCCCTGCTCAAGCAAGAGATCGGCCTAGACCCTTTCAGACAAATGGCTGGCCAATCTCTTCTTGGAAATCTCCAGTGTTGGAGCACCCACAACTTCTGGTGGCAAGTCGTTCCACTGGTTAATTGTTTTCACTGTTAGGAAGTTTCTCCTTAGTTCCAGGTTGCTTCTCTCTTTGGTTAGTTTCCACCCGTTGTTTCTTGTCCTGCCTTCACATGCTTTGGAAAATAAGTTGACCCCCTCTTCTTTGGGGCAACCCCTCAAATGTTGGAAGACTGCTATCGTGTCACCCTAGTCCTTTTCTCTAGGCTAGTCAGACCCAGTTCCTGCAACCATTCTTCATATGTTTTAATCTCCAGGCCTTTAAGTATCCTAGTTACTCATCTCTGATCTTTGTTGTTTTCTTGCAGACGTTGCACAACCCAAACTAGGGAACAGCATCACTGCTAGAACTGATCATATTACCTAATTTTGGGTCGTGAAACATCTGCAAGAAAACAACCCAGCTCAGAGAGCACCAAGGATCCTACAGTCTTCGCCTCCTCCCTCCTCCTCCTCTTCCCCCTCATCCCTACAAGCCCTGCTTCCTCCTAGCACTGACCACGTTACCTGGTTTGGGTCATGAAACATCTGCAAGAAAACAAACCCGCTCAGAGAGCCCCAAGGACCCCGGGGGAATAGGAATCTTCCCCGTTGCATTACTTGGAGGGTGTTGCTCAGAGGGTGTTGCATTACTCCTTAAAGCACCCAGATAAAAAGGAGATCCTGGGGGACAGTTTAGCCAGGATTGTCTTCCTTTCGCCAAACCCAGTTTGTGCCATATTTATTTTGGGTCAGGCTGGAAGGGAGTCAGGCTCAAGTCATCCTCCGCCAATAAATGTTTTCCCCCTGTTTTTCTGGCGAGGTCTGAGTGAGCCTTGAAGGACTTAATGAAGAGAAGGACGAGGGGGGACATGATAGCAGTCTTCCAGTATCTCAGGGGCTGCCCCAAAGAAGAGGGAGTCAAGCTATTCTCCAAAGCACCTGAAGGCAGGATGAGAAGCAACGGGTGGAAACTGATCAAGGAGAGAAGCAACCTGGAACTAAGGAAAAACTTCCTGACAGTTAGAACAATTAACCAGTGGAACAACTTTGCCTTCAGACATTGTGGGTGCTTCATCACTGGAGGTTTTTGAGAAGAGACTGGACAGCCACTTGTCTTAAATAATATAGGGTCTCCTGCTTGAGCTGGGGGCTGGATTAGAAGACCTCCAAGGTCCCTTCCAAATGGGTCCTTCTGTTGTCACAGAGAAGAAGGGGTTGACCTTCTCTCCAAAGCACCAGAGGGCAGGAGGAGAAGTGACAGGTAGAAGCGCATTAGAGAGAGAAGCAACCTGGAATTAAGGAGAAACTTCCTAACGGGGAGGACAATTAACCAGTGGAACAACCTGCCTCCAGAAGTTGTGGATGCTCCAACACTGGAGGTTTTTAAGAAGAGACTGAACAGCCATTTGTCTGAAATGGTATACGGCAGTGATGGCGAAACTTTTAGAGACCGAGTGCGCAAACTGCAACCCGAAACCCACTTATTTATCGCAAAGTGCCAACAGAGCAATTTAACCCGAATACTGAGGTTTTAGGGTTAGGGTTAGGGTTTACGTTAGGGTTAGCGTTAGGGTTTACCTTAGGGTTAGGGTTTACGTTAGGGTTAGGGTTTACGTTAGGGTTAGGGTTAGAGTTAGGGTTTATGTTAGGGTTAGGATTATAGGGTCTCCTGCTTGAGCAAGGAGTTGGACTAGAAGTCCTTCAAGGTCCCTTCCAGCTCTATTCGGATTGAAATAGTCCTCCCTTAGATTCAGAAACACACACACACACACACACACACACACTTGAGCCCTCCAGCCAATTGTGAATAGGAGAAATCACAAAACAAAGCCATGTTTCTAGAGAGGAGATTCATTGTATGTCTCGAGACAGCCTCAGTGATACGATGTGCTAACCTACAAAAAAATATATGAGTATTTTGTATCATGTTAAGTTCTGCTGAGAGTGGTGAATCGGTTTATTGTTATCGAAATCCACACCACTTTTCCCCCCCAAATTCCTTCGGTATCCTGCTGTGAACCAAGAAAGAAAAACTCACCCAGTCCTGTGAATTTTCGTTGAGTTTTTACTTGGCTTCACCTCTTGAATCAACGGCAGTAGCAAATTTGGGGCCTTTTGAATGGACATCCGTTTGCCCCTCAATTCCAGTATTCAAAACCCAACGGGCTGGTGGCAGAACCAGGGGCGCGTCCCCCTTCAAACTGCCACCGGCTGAATTTCTCGGTGCCAATATTCTGATTAGAACTGCATGGCTCTGCTGGGGAATTCTGGGAGTTGAAGTCCACAAAGCTCAAAGTTGCCCAGGTTGAGAAACACTGGAGTAGAAGTTTCAAGAGATGGGAACTTTTCTACGTGGACCATATTTGCAGGCTGGCGTCGTTTAGGGCAGGGGTAGGCAACCTTGGCTCTTTTATGACTGGTGGACTTCAACTCCCAGAATTCCTGAGCCAGCCATGCTGAGGGGAAAGGGAGAGGTTTCCATGCTGAGCCATGCTGGCTCAGGAATTCTGGGAGTTGAAGTCCACGAGTCATGAAGGGGCCAAAGTTCCCCCATGCTGGCTCAGGAATTCTGGGAGTTGAAGTCCATGAGTCATAAAAGGGCCAGGTTTGAAGATCCCTGGACTAGACAATCACCTGTCTGAGATGGTATAGGCCAGGGATAGGCAACCTTGGCTCTTTTATGACTCATGGACTTCGACTCCCAGAATTCCTGAGCCAGCCATGGTGGCTCAGGAATTCTGGGAGTTGCAATCCACGAGTCATAAAAGAGCCAAGGTTGCCTACCCCTGGTATAGGCTCTCCTGATTGAGCAGGGGGCTGGACTAGAAGACCTCCAAGGTCTCTTCCAGATCTATTCTATTCTATTCTATTCTATTCTATTCTATTCTATTCTATTTCTGCAATATAAATGTAGACCGAAAACAACATCTATGGAGTTTTATTGGCAATAATATGGAAAAAGTTTGCCTTGGGTCTTTCTAAGTGGGTTTTTCTTTTAGCCTACACATCCTGGGGATTTCTTGGAGACTTCCCCACTCAAGGACTAACCAGATCTGACTTTGTATTACTTCCTGAGATCAACCAAGGTTAACTTGCTGACCACGGGGCTTCTCCGTGGTGAGACCCCTGGCTCTTGGCCTGCCATTGTGAGGCCTACTTAGTTCAGGGGTAGGCAACCTCGGCTCTTTTATGACTCATGGACTTCAACTCCCAGAATTCCTGAGTCAGCATAGCTGAAGTCCAGCATAGTTGAAGTCCATGAGTCATAAAAGAGCCGAGGTTGCCTACCCCTGACTCAGTTCATCCTTTTGCATGCTTTTGGCACCAGGCCAAGCCATGATATTCTCTCCCATTAAAATTTTATTTTAAATTAAAAGAATTATTTATTTTCCCAAATTAAAAAAAAGCCATTTTACCACACTGAAAGGTGCACTGTTCCAAATGCTGCAAATACCTTTCCATTTTATACGTTTTACTGTATTTGAATAACCCCTTTTTTATATACATAAAAATGGTCCAATTATGCTTGGAGCCACCCATCCTGAGCAAATGCATTAGACAGAATGATGAAAAATGTGTCTTAAACCATTCATTTACATTGAATGGGGTTGAAAAAAAATCTATTACAGAAAAGAACAGGATTTTTTTTTTAAAAAAAAAGATTGTTAATGTGATGATTTAAATTTAAATAATAAATTTATTATTTAAATTTATAAATTTAAATAATAAAATAATAAATAAATAAAAAATAAATTGTTAAAATAACGCATTCTAAACAAATCAACTTCTGCCACCAGACGACACATAAGGAAAGGCAGCAGTCCTGGCATTCTCCGTCACGTCGACCTTCATTTGCTACTACTGCGCATGAGCGATATCATCGGGCAAAATCGCGTTCCGAGGGAGAGGACGCCCGAAATCGCGGCGAGTCGTGGGGTCATTAAGTTTGTCCTTTCTGACCTCCCGTAGGTCTCTCCTTTTTTTTTTTTTTTTTTCTCCCTTTGGGATAACTATGGTGGAGCGGGCCGGGAGTTCCGCGGAGCCTCTTCGCTACGCGGAGTACGTAGCCCGGAGCGCCGGCGGCGGTGGCAGCGGCGGCGGCCGAGAGCCGGACATCAACTACGGCCTGGTCAGTGTTGGGGTGGCGGGACTGCCGTAGAGAGAACCGGCCTATCGTTTAAAGCGTGATTATTGCCGGTCTCTTTTGAGCATGCGCAGTCGTGTCTCTGAAGCGGCTTGGAGGCGGCGTGTGGGCGCCTGGCAACGCGTTCGCAGGTCGCTTTCTCTGCGCGCATGCGCAGAGGGCTTCCTTTCTGTCTCAGTTCTATGAATTCTTTGCTGCTGAATTTCTTCTATTAATAAATAAGAGTTATCTTATAATGAAGATCCATAGGAGATAATAGCATGATTTTAAGTATTTCAGATAGAGTGTGTTGTAGGTTTTTTTTTTATTTTTAAGAAAGCAAAGCCAGGATCGGGTCTGGTTGAAAGGTGGATGGGAGACCACCAGGCAATGCCTAGATTGGGAAATTGAAAAACATTCCCGAAGAAGGAGGTGATGACAGTTCCTGCATTTTTGCATAAAAACTGTTCTGCTTAGGAGTTACCTGTGCTTGCATAGATCAAACACAATCCATTTTATAATGCAGTGTAGTCATTGAAGCGTTGTTTTAAACTTCCACATGCACAAGAACCCATTGGATGTGTAGAATGGCTGTTGGCTTCCTTTTGCTTTCCTGGTACCGTTATATAATTTTATTAAAGAAGTCGTAACAATTGGCAAGTTTGGCTGGTCTCAGAGAGCCAAGCATGATCAGATATACTTCCCCTGGGTGTGGAGGCTTGACTGGGATATTGAAAAATCATCTCAGAAGAAGATATGGCGAAACTGTACTTTTGCCAAGAGCTTTGAATTGTATCCATGTCGTTTCTGGGACTAAAGAACAGCTCTGAGATGATTTGACCCTTCCTTCCTTCCTTCCTTCCTTCCTTCCTTCCTTCCTTCCTTCCTTCCTCCCTCTCTCTCTCTCTCCCATCGTTTTCCTTTCATCTTCCTTCCTTCCTTTTTCCCTCTTCTTTCTTTCTTTCTTTCTTTCTTTCTTTCTTTCTTTCTTTCTTTCTTTCTTTCTTTGTCTTTCTTTCTCTCTCTCTCTCTCTCTTTCTATCTTTCTTTCTTTCTTTCTCTTTTCTTCCATCATTTTCCTTTCATCTCCTTCCTTCCTTTTTCCCTCTTCCCTCTTCCTGCCTCTTTCTTTCTTTCTTTCTTTCTTTCTTTCTTTCTTTCTTTCTTTCTTTCTTTCTTTTCTTTCCTTCCATCTCCTTCCCTCCCTCCCTCCTTTCTTTTTTTCTTTCTTTTCTTTCTCTCCCCTTCCTTCCTTCCTTCCTTCCTTCCTTCCTTCCTTCCTTCCTTCCTTCCTTCCTTCCTTCCTTCCTTCCTTCTCTAATCATTGAGAACTCGCCACCGATTTCACTGGAAATGTTGCATTGTTTCATAGGGACATCTATACTTTAAAACAAAAAGTGTAGACATCCCAATGAAACAATGCAAAATTTCCAAAGTTAGCAAAGAGATTGTCCTGTTAATTTATTGCAAGGATAGCAAAAAAAAAAAAAAAAAGACCTGGCAGAGGTGAATTCCAATCCACAGAAAAATTAACAATTAAAAATGCTTGAGCAGAGGGCTGGACTAGAAGACCTCCAAGGTCCCTTCCAGTTCTATTCTAAACACAAGAAAGTCCAGTTGCCTCCTGAAAAAGCATCTTTGGGAACCTCTGCCTAAAACATTTTCTTTTACTGCTCCAGCATTCGTACCACATCCAGTAAAAAAAATCAGCCAGGCCCTAGTATTTTCAGATCAATTCCTCCCCAGCCAGTTTGGACCCCAGCCAAATAAATTAAACTGCAAAGCCAGAAAATGAGCACAGAGAATAAAACACATGTCTAGTCCCGAATGCCACCTGAAGCAGATCTCGGGCTGGGAATTATTTCCAAACAGGGCAGTTGCAAAGAGCCATTCCATGTCCTTGGTTTTTATTTATCTTTCTTTTCTTTTCTTTTTTAAGTTTGTGCTGTCAGCTCTTCAGAGAAGCCGAGATTCCACCGATATGGAAAAGCATTCATTTATGTGCCCAGTGCTGAGTTTTTAATGCTGCCTGTTGTTCCATTTCTTTTTCCCTTTAAAGCTTAGAAATTTGATGTCCTTTCTTTGCCCTGAAAAGCTTCTAATTGAGGTTGTTTATGGAGAACTTACAGGCAATTTAGCATACGGTGTTTATTTCGTATAGCATACGGATTATTTATGTCTCCGGCAAGGCAATTTTACAACTTTAGTCAAGGGTTTGAAGAAGAAAAAAAAAAACGGCTTTGGAAAAATTTAAAGGGATCTCGGAGCTGTCAGCATTGCTGCCATAATAGCTGGATGTGTTTCATGTAAATTTCTCAAGCGCTTTTTAGGATAATTGTCACCACATTTAATGTATATCTTCTGGCAGTAATATAAACACTATGCGGAAGGGTTCCGTTTTTATATTTCTGCAACTATGTGAAGAAATTCTCATGTCACCACTTTTAAACAACAACAAAATGAAATCCATTGGGCTACTTAATTTCTTTTCTTTTTCTTTTTAATGTTAGGAAAAGCAGCTTCAGTCGAAGTAATGGAATAAAAAGTGCTTTTTTGTTTTTTTATCTGTAGCGAAGTTTCTTCATTATGGTGGTAGTAAGGTTTTTTGTGATAATCTACCGCCGTGCTAGAATAATTTGTAAGGAACCGGGTATAATGAAATGCCTGTCCCCAATTAAAATACGGTGAATGCGTATTTTATGAATGCATGGCGGGAACGCGTACAAAGTTTTGGAAATGATTAACCGTGCACGAATGCATTAATCAAGCCATGTTTTCTTATTTTATGAGTAAGGGGCTTCTTATGGCTACTGTATAAAGCAAGTGGGTGCATCTCTGTTGAGAATAGCCAGTCCTTTTCAGCTGATGGGCACAGTTGCAGTTTGAGAGAGAGTTGTCAGTACTTCCTAAAATTTATCCCGGAGAGTTATCCCAAATGTGCTTTTTGAAAAGGCATCAGGACTTTGTTTTTCCTTGAAGACGTTTCGCTTCTCATCCAAGCAGCTTCTTCAGCTCTGGAGAACTGTTCTCTCCTAACACCGACATACTGGGGTGGTAAAACTCTCACTCGGGACGATGGCTTCAAAGAAGCAGGGACAGGTAGTAGCAATCCTCCTGTTTAAGACAATCAGAATCAGAATAGAATCTGGAAGGGACCTTGGAGGTCTTCTAGTCCAGCCCCCTGCTCAAGCAGGAGACCCTAGACCAGGGGTCTTCAAACTTGGCCCTTTTATGATTTGTGGACTTCAACTCCCAGAATTCCTCAGCCAGGCACGCTGGCTGAGGAATCCTGGGAGTTGAAGTCCACAAGTCATAAAAGGGTCATAGTTCCCTCAGGCTGGCTGAGGAATTCTGGGAGTTGAAGTCCACAAGTCATTAAAGGGTCAAAGTTCCCTCACGGTGGCTGAGGAATTCTGGGAGTTGAAGTCCACAAGTCATAAAAGGGTCATAGTTCCCTCACCCTGGCTGAGGAATTCTGGGAGTTGAAGTCCACAAGTCATAAAAGGGTCACAGTTCCCTCACGCTGGCTGAGGAATTCTGGGAGTTGAAGTCCACAAGTCATAAAAGGGTCATCGTTCCCTCACGCTGGCTGAGGAATTCTGGGAGTTGAAGTCCACAAGTCATAAAAGGGCCAAGTTTGAAGACCCCTGTCTTAAATCTAACAAACAAAATGGAGGCTGGCTGAGGAATTCTGGGAGCTGAAGTCCACAAGTCATAAAAGGGCCAAGTTTGAAGAGCCCTGGACTAGACCATTTCAGACAAGCTTGCAAATCTCATGTGTGAATCGGCAGCATTTTTCAAACATGTTTACCCCAGCGGGCCTTGCGTGCAAGGCGTGAAAAAGGCGGACAAGTGTAATGTTTTCCCATGACTGATTTTTTCTTCTTTCTTGGACTGTGCCTGTGTCAGTTGTGATGCCATAGCTGGCATTTTGAACGTTTTAACCACGACGAAAAAAAAGGCCTCTTCAATAACCCATAAAAACTCACGTTGCTTTTCAAATATCTAAATGTAAAATTAGAAAATCAATAAACATTTTTTAAAAACTCAAACCAGGCAATGTTGTGTATCTATACGTTCCTTGGGCCACTTTAGCTTGATAAAAGCCAAATCCTGGCATCCATAAATTAAACTTGTCCGGATTCCAGAACCAACGACCTAGTTCCCCATCTTACACGCCTCTGATTTATCTGGATTAAGGATCGGCTTGTTAGCTCTTATCCAACTCCAAATTGGAACATTTAATCAATACTTGCACACCTTCCCTTGAATTCACGGTTAAAAATTGGAGATAAGGCAGGATGATGAATCGTTAACATATGGATAACATCTTAGCCCAGATCTTACATTGGTTCTTGGTGCTGTCTTGTAAATGTTAAAAGCAGAGGTGACAAAATGTGATCCAACATGGAATTAAGGAGGAATTTCCTGACAATGAGAATAATTCACCAGTGGAACAACTTTCCTCCAGAAGTTGTGGGTAAGAAAAGATTGGGCAACGATATGTCTGAAATTTTATAAATTTAGAATAACAGAGTTGGAAGGGACCTTGGAGGTCTTCTAGTCCAACCCCCTGCTCAGGCAGGAAAACCCTATACCATTTCAGACGTGGTTGTCTAGTCTCTTCTTCAAAACTTCCAGTGTTGGAGCATTCTCAACTTCTGGAAATTCACAACTTCAGGAAATTTCTCCTTAGTTCTAGGTTGTTTCTCTCCTTGATTAGTTTCCATCCATTGCTTCTTGTCCAGAATAAATAATAACAGAATAGCAGAGTTGGAAGGGACCTCGGAGGTCTTCTAGTCCAACCCCCTGCTCAGGCAGGAAACCCTATAGCATTTCAGACAAATGATTGTCTAATCTTTTCTTTGAAAACTTCCAGTGTCGGAGCATTCACAATTTCTGGTGGCAAGGAGTTCCACTGATTGATTGTTCTGACTGTCAGGAAATTTCTCCTTAGTTCTAGGTTGCTTCTCCCCTTGATTAGTTTCCATCCTTTGCTTCTTATTCTGGGTGAAAAGAATGGTATACCTATAGGGTGGTATAAGTATAGGGTTTCCTGCCTGAGCAGGGGGTTGGACTAGAAGACCTCCACGGTCCCTTCCAACTTTGTTATTCTACATTTGTAAAATGTCAGACAAATCGTTGCTCAATCTCTTCTTTTGAAGCACCCACAATTTCTGGCTGGTTTTTATTTTGGCTGGGGAATTCCGGGGGTTGAAGTCCATCCTGCAAGTCAAAGACTATGAGTGTAGAATTGAGTTCCTAAATAATTTTTCTTTCGGGAAGGATCTCCCATGTTCTTGACCTTTGCCCTCTAAGCACCCTAAAAAAATACGCCGTGGTATTCAAGGCGCTGAAGATCTAAGAAGTGTTTTTGCAAACTTGGCCATTTTAAGACTGGTGGACTTCAACTCCCAGAATTCCTCAGCCAGCAGGTCCACTCATTGTAAAGTTGCCAAGTTTGAACTGTTGATCAAGGAGAAAAGGGGCTATAAGTTTTTCCAAGCACTAAGTTTGGGATAATCAAGACTATAATATTTTTCTATTCCTAACCAGATAGGAGGCTGGGCTGAAGCCAATCACTTAATGTAAGACCTAACGTAACTTTTCTGGGGAAAGTTGACATTTTAGAATTGCAATTGTTTTAAGCAGGTTTTAGGATTATTAATAAGGAAAGATGGAAGAGCATATTAAAATGTGTCTATTTTGTGTGTATTAAAATGTGCAAAACTTTCGTGCGTTTTAATTTAGGCAAGCAAAGGGCTGTATGTTGGGTTTTTAAAATGTGATTTTGGGGGGGAATTTGAGAAAAATATGCACGTAGCTTGTTGCCATCACTCTATTTCCAATACATTTTTTGGAAAACGTGTTTGAGTGAGTTAAAGGCCATCTGCTTAGTTGCCCTCCACCAGAGTTGGTCAAAATATGCCAGTTTCTTCCTGATGAATATAGTTAATCCCTTTACTTTGTGTATTAAGTACTCCGAAACTCTTTGATCACACAATATAAAATCACAGATCTCTCTCTCTTTCTCTCTGTCTCTCTCATTATTTTTTTTCTCGGTGTGTGTCTTACATGGGCCAGAACAGCAAACATCACCTTTCCCCATTAACTAAATGAGCAGTCTAATTACTGTGTGTCTTGTATTGTAAGAATTAATGTTTGTAAACTGTTTCAAGAGGCTTAGATTAAAGATGCTGTACAAGTGGAAAGAATTATTCTTGAAAATGAGGAGTTGGGTCTCTTGTAAGAAGGCAAAACATGACAAGAATTCCAACAGTGAACTGTAATCACTTGAAGTGGCGCATCAGCTGGGCTGTTAGGAATATTAATGGGATTCCTTACAGAATGAAAGCAGGCTCTGAATAATTAGCCTCGTGGAAGAAACAGAAGCCGCCTTCAGGACACTGTCTTTCCAGATTGCATTGCTCTCCGTGCACCCATATGTGGGTATTCAGGGTAGGTAGGTAGGTAGGTAGGTAGGTAGGTAGAGATAGATAGATAGATAGATAGATAGATAGATAGATAGATAGATAGATAGACAGATAGACAGATAGACAGATAGACAGATAGACAGATAAAGAGAGAGAGAGAGAGATATATATATATAAAGAGATAATAGAGATAATAGAGAGATAGATAGATAGACAGACTAGATAGATAGATAGATAGATAGATAGATAGATAGATAGATAGATAGATAGATAGATAGATAGATAGACAGACAGACAGACAGACAGACAGACAGACAGATAGATTAGATAGGTACAGATAGATGAGAGATATATAAAATATAGATAATTGAAGTAGATAGATAAAATAGATATATTTGATATAGATAGAATAGATGATAGATAATAGATGATAGATGATAGATATAGATAGATATAAAATTGATACAGATAGATGAGAGATAGATGAAATACAGATAATTGAAGTAGATAGATAAAATAGATATGATAGTTGATAGATAGATAGATAAATAGATAGAGAGAGACAGATACAGGATAGATAGATAGATAGATAGATAGATAGATAGATAGATAGATAGATAGATAGATAGATAGATAGATAGATAGATAGATAGATAGATAGATAAAATTGATACAGATAGATGAGAGATAGATAAAGTAGACAGATAATTGAAGTAGATAGATAAAATAGATATGATAGTTGAGATAGATAGATAGATAGATAGATAGATAGATAGATAGATAGATAGATAGATAGATAGATAGATAGATAGATAGATAGATAGGCAAGACAGACAGACAGACAGACAGACAGTTCCTGTCCTTCGAATGACTTTGGCGGTATCTGAAGTTTTTTTAAATTTAAAAATACTGAGTCTGATCATTTTGCAAGCGATGTCTCTATTTGTCTCCAGGATATTCGTGTCAAATTGCTAAATTTCTTCTTTCTTCTCCTCCTCCTTCTATTTTTAATAGGCCCGATCTGTAATCGGAGTCGGTCTGGGCATAGCAGCGGTTGCCTTTGGAGGTAAGTATGAATGTGCTTAAGAATAAAATGCTGCACGTTCATCTCGTGCAATTTATTAAGGGGGGGGGGAAATTTCAGGAAGCTACCTTTCCCATCCAGTGAGATTACCGATCCACCAACGTATAAAGCTTCCTTTCAGCTGACTTTGGCCCCTGGGGGCTGCGTTGAGGGACCTGCGGCTTTGAGGTAATTGGGGACCCTTCATTTTGAATAACTTGTGGATTGGTAGGGAAGTTTTCAATTATCCTGAGTCACAACTAATGTCTTGTTCACGGACGGAAGGGATTTGGGGCAGGATCAGCCTCCTGTACAGTATTGTTTTGGAATAAAGGGGGGGGGGGGATCAGTGACACCATAAATGTCTTGTTATCTGGGCCTTGACCTAAATACAGGTAATATCTCAACTTACAACCATAATTGAGCCCAGATTTTCTGTTGCAAGACCTTTCTTGCCCCAGTTGTTTAATGAATCCCTGCAGTTCTTAAGTGAGTAACACAGTTGTTAAGTGAATCCGGCTTCCCCCATTGACTTTGCTCGTCAGAAGCTCGCCAAAGGGGATCACGTGACCCGGAGGACTCTGCAACCGCCCTAAGTACATGCCAGTTGCCAAGCAAGCCTCTGGATGTTGATCAGGTGATCATGGGGACGCCGCAACGGTTGAGTGAAAAGCAGTCATAACTTACATTTTTCAATGCCGTTGTAACTTTGGACGGGCACTCAATGACGTTTTGTAAGCGGAGGACTTACCTATACATGTTTAAAAACCTGAGATTCCTGCCCCAATACAAAATAAGTTAATACACAACGTGGCTCTCTGAAATTTCAGGAGAGGAATTTGGTTGGAATAGTGTCAGACGATAAAGAATTTAATATCAGCATAGAATTTTTGAATTGATAGGTAGGTAGGTAGGTAGGTAGGTAGATAGATAGATAGATAGATAGATAGATAGATAGATAGATAGATAGATAGATAGATAGATAGATAGATAGATAGATAGATAGATATGAAAGAAAGAAAGAAAAAACAAAGGTAGTTGAGAAAGAAAAGAAAGAAAGAAAGAGAAAGAAAAGAAAAAGAAAGAAAGAAAGAGAAAGAAAAAGAAAAACAAGAAAGGTAAGTATAGATAGTTTGATAGGTAGGTAGGTAGGTAGATAGATAGATAGATAGATAGATAGATAGATAGATAGATAGATAGATAGATAGATAGATAGATGAATGATAGATAGATAGATAGATAGATAGATGATAGATTATAGATAAATGATAGCTAGATAATATAGATGGATGATAGATATAGATGATAGATATAGGATAGATAGGATAGACATGACAGAAAGAAAGAAAAAAGAAAGAAAGAGAAAAAAAGAAAGGTAAGTAGAGAGGTAGAGATGGATAGATAGGTAGATAGATGAATGATAGATGATAGATTATAGATAAATGAGAACGATGATATAGATGGATGATAGATATAGATGATAGATAGGATAGATATGACAAAGAAAAAAGAAAGAAATAGAAAGAAAGGTTAGACACAGATAGATAGATAGATAGATAGATAGATAGATAGATAGATAGATAGATAGATAAAAAAGAAAGGATAGATAGATAAGATAGATGAAAGAGAAAGGATAGATAGACAGACAGACAGATAGATAGATAACCTTTATTGTCATTTTTTTTACTGTGGGCACAGTGGCACCCATTAAAAATGAAATTTAGTTGCTTGCTCTCAAAGTGTACACATACATAACACAAATTTAAACATACTATATACAACATATGTATAGACCTACACCCTTACATATAAGTAACATATAAATATTAGTCACTGTCCATCTTGAATACATAACGGAAGGAACAAGCATTTTCTTGAAAGAGATATTTTTCCCTGCAATGCTGTAAAAATGAAACGTATTTTCACCTGCCAATTTTTCATCCCGCCAGACTGAGCCGGTCTCCAAAACCAGCCACCGGGGTGGAAACCGTCTGAATCGAACACAGGGCACCACCAGCTAATAAAATGAAAACAAAACAAAACTAAATTAAATTAGATAGTCCTTTTTTTCTGTCTGAAACTGCTAATGTTGCATCCTTCTTTAGCAGATATACAGATATTAAGTTGCCTTTGGTTTCCATATTTTCTAGGTCGTTTTGCATTCCAGCTCCGGAAACCGCTAGAAGACATTTTCTCCGAGGTAGCGAGAAAAATTTCAGCTACTGTAAGTTGAAAGCTTAGATTATCTTTCATATCATTAGAAGAAGGAGAAAAATAACCCCACTTTAAGGCAATTTGGTATACTTGTGTAGAGCCTTCGGTGCTTCGGATCTATCTATCTGTCTGTCTGTCTGTCTGTCTGTCTGTCTGTCTGTCTGTCTGTCT